CTCCACAAAAGTCAACTGAATTGTCAGCCAAACAGTGACTACAGCCAATCAGATGCAGTCACTATTCATGGATTTACACAGCCGCGGGTGCTAGTGGTCTGCATACAATAGCCAGCATTTGAGAGAAATCTAGCTGTGTATAACTGGCTTTCTACTAGAAAAGATCCAGGAGACTGAGACCAGACAGTGGAAAAGAGCTACCAAATTTACTCAACTAAGTGAAATGCAAGAGACCGATAAAAGGAACACATGACAGAGGCACAAGACAGACATGAAACAAAGACGTACTCTTGTAGTTCCAGTGTATGCTGGTGACCTGGATCTCCTGAGTAGGAATATACTCCTCTACAAACTTCTTCCCCTGCAGCCGATGCCACAGGGTGGTCTTTCCGGTGTTCCTGTCTCCCCGAATAACTATCTTCACTAGAAAACAAGAGAAGCAGATCATTACACACACACACACACACACACAATTCCAATAAAAACAGAGTTCACCTCATACAGATTGGTGCATTTCTGAAAGCGGCAACTTGTGCATGCTAGGAGGTTAGGTTGTGGGGCAGTCAGGTGTAATGGTGGCCATACACTCTACAACCATCGCAAGACTTTAGTCTTGCGATGGTTGTACAGGGATTAAAAAAAACGTACGATCTGCCTATCTTGGACAGGCAGATCGCACTCTCGATCATCAGGTCTGTTCTGGAGAAGGGAGAACTAGCTATGGAAGGAAAACTAAAAGGGAAAAACCAGGTGATTGGATTCATACGGCTTTCTCTGACTAGTTCTAGAACAGATCTGCCTCTTACACTTCCCAACAGCAAAGCTCGCAGAGCTACAAAGGCAACGCAAGAACACAGAGGCATAAAGGACTAGCGTAGGCCTTAAAGTGTCTGTATACCCAAAACTTTTTTTTTAGAGGGGGGGGGGGGAGATAAAAACCCCAGCCAGATTATTTATGCTTTTTGTGAGCCATTAGGAAAATGTCTTCACTTCCTGTCCCAAAAGACACAATAGCAAGTTACAGGAAGTGAGGAGAATTCCCCTCAGACAGTTTTCCCTGGTACAGGTGTTCCCATTGGAAGATTTACTCCTAGCTCCTGTTCTGCGGCATCTTTAAAATCTGGATTTCCCCTCACTTGGTCAGCAGTACAATTAGAGGGGTGAATCTCCCAAATGGGGCCACAGACAGTAATAAAAACTAGACAGATGGACTAACCCTTCCCCACTGGATTCCAAACTATAAAAGAAGGGTTTTGCCTAGAGATACACTTTAACATGGCATTTCCAAACCAAAGGTGGTAATATACCGGACATTCTGTACCTTCTCTGTATTTATAATGATAAAAAAGGAGATAGAACATTTCTTTTCAAAAGTAAATAAAAAAAGGATTGCATATGAACTTTTAAAATGCTCCACTTTCTGTGTTCTCCAAATGCTTGTACATATTTGTGGTGCTAAAAATAGACCTGAATGCCTCAGAGGAGAGACATATCCCCCTCTTCCAGCAAAGATGGGAGCATATTAGTCAGTTGCACAGTGGCTGCTAGCAAGTATGCTGCCAATTACTGATTGTTTTATTCGATAGTACACAATCCCCTGCAAACAGCGTCACATACACTATACAAATACATAATACCCTATATTAGATGCTTTTTGTGAACGGGGGCAGCAAAAGATGATGTTTATCACTTTAGTTACCCTTTTATGTTTATTTCCATACAGAGATCTTGTTAACCACTTGAAGTCCGTGGTGTAAAACTCCCTTCCCGTCCAGGCCATTTTTCAGTATTTAGCGCTGCGGTACTTTGATTGACATTTATTCCGTCATGCAACGCAGTACTGAAACAAACTTTATACCCTTTTTGGGGACAGATAGAGCTTTCTTTTGGTGGTATTTAATCACCACTGGGGGTTTTATTTTTTACTATATTAAAAAGGAAAAATGACAGAAAATGTAAAAAAAAACAAAAAACTAGGGGGCGCACGCACGTGTGAGTCTGCCGTCCGTTTTTTTCACAAAGGGCAGACGGCAAGCGGTTAAAAGGTAACTAAGGCCAAACCTTTTTTGGACTATAGTTCTCTTTTGGGTCACAGGAATATATAAACTAATATACTCCTGTGACCCAAAGTCAGCATGTAGCGGACTACTGCCCGCTATATGCTGACAGCCCAGAGCCGCACTGCAGCCAGGAAAGATGCGGACAATATTAACGGTATCCACCCCACTGCCTGATTGACAGCTGGATCTTCCTCTCTAGAGCCAGAGCTAGCTGTGCCCGCCCCAACCCCTGCCTGTCCCTCCAATGAGCGTTGGAGGAACAAAGAGGGGAGGGAGAATCCCTGCAGGGAGCAGTGACTGACAATCACCGCTATCTGCATGGAGAAGACTGTGGGCTGAGCAGTCAACGGTTTGTGATCGCTCAGCTCTCAATCTATAGAGCCGGCATGTGACAGCTGCCTCCAGATAAACAGACATAGAGGAGCTGTTTTACCTTGCAAAAGATTTTAAATTCTGTTCAGCAAGTCTAGTGCTCATGGTAACCTTTACCAGACAAAACAGATCATGGACGGCTCTGTAGGCTGCACTGAGGCAAAGCACTACAGCCTGGTCTAGGATCCATCCACCCAGTGATTTAGCAATGAAGGAGCAGCAGCCCACTGATGAGATCATTACTCTGCCCTTTTACTTTCAGGAAGTTCTTAGTGTTGAATGGACAGTGCTGTGCATAGCATTGGCTCCTAATGCTGCCCTTTCCTCTTCCAGTCTGAGTACTACTGTGCTTACAGGAAGCTGATATCAAGACAAATTTAGGTACTTTGTCAACAATGTTTCCAGACCCACACGGGGCTACCCGGTGCCGGACCCACACGGGGCTACCCGGTGCCGGACCCACACGGGGCTACCCGGTGCCAAACCCACACGGGGCTACCCGGTGCCAAACCCACACGGGGCTACCCGGTGCCAAACCCACACGGGGCTACCCGGTGCCAAACCCACACGGGGCTACCCGGTGCCAAACCCACACAGTGCTTCCTTCAGAATGGGCGAAGAAAGCTTCTGATTTTCAGACTCACCCACTGTCACACAGACAGGGCTTCCGACTACCCGGGACAGAGCTTACAATTTTTTACAGACTTTCAGAGATGATTATGTCTGAAGAGAAATGCATGAGCTGCCATAGCGGATATATTGTAAATCTCAGTTTTCTGGCTAACTCTGCCTTCAGTACATTCTGAGTAACAGCCTGGCTTCCGTTTGCTTCAGAAATGGTTGTCTCACCGTTCCAGTCAGTGGGAATGCAAAAGCAGCTTGAAGCTTAGATAGAGGCCAACTGCCAGCCAATTGGACCTGTTGATGACCTCTTAAAATTAGTATTAAAACTCCCAACATTTTTTCAATAATGAATCCAGATAAACAAATCTACATTGCCCAGCAAAGTGTTTCTTCACATTTTTGCCCAAACACTCACAGCCATCATGTTTATGAACAGCTGTATCCAAACTCTCTCAGCTTGGGTTCCCTGAACTTCCTGTCCAGTACAAGATCACAAGGGACAGCCCTGTCTCCAGCAGCCATATATCTACTAGCTTGGAGAAAGGAGGAGAGTGGCTTGCCTTGCTGTGCCTATGTGTTTGCGGACACACACAGCTTACTAGCACACACAAGGGTAGCCCCATAGGACCCTGCAAAGGAAAGGAGCCACCCTAAAATACAGGATATCAGGGCCAGTGCTCAGGGGACCAGCTGATTCATTCATCCATTGTAAGCAATTTAATCAGCATTTAGAATAACTTTTTGATTGTAATATCACTTTAATGATCTGAGATGCATTTCAAAATGGCCTCAAATACGAGAAGAAATGCAGTGGAAAGAAAGCTGCAGTTACCCATCAACACAAGCCACTACTGATATATAACAGGCATGCAGCACCAGAAGTCAAAGCTGCATCTTCACTCCCAGTCAATGACACAAAGTACTGAAGGCAGAGACAGACAGGCAACTAATGTAATGCATGTTGGCAATGGCATCATCCATATTTCACTCAGCAAGTTCCCTTTAAGACAAGGCCAATGGAGATGTTTGTTCTGTAAGGTGGAGTATGCGGAACTGGACTTCATTCATTTCATCCTTGCACAGACAGGTCAGGATTTTCCATATCTAATCTTACGCTGGGTATGCAATCTTTATTTACTTTCAAGGGAAAAGAGCTTTCACTGAACCTCAAATCAGTTAAAGGAAATCTGTAGCAGGACAGTATGAAAGCTGAAAATGCTAGCTGCCTGGCTGTCATGGTGTTGCAATGGCTTGAGTACTCTCCGAAACACATTGACGTGTGATATTTATGCAGATAGGGAGTTCTGACTTCTAATCTGAATGGTTGTACTAGATCAGTAAGTATTGAAGACAGAGCCCAAGGCCCCTTTCACATGGGAAATCCATTTAGATCCATCTGTCGGTTTTTCAGAATACTCCGATTAGAAGGCCAAAGTAACTCTATGGGTAGCCAGATGTGTCTGTTTATTTTCGACATCCAATTATTCCCGACTCCATCTAGGACAGAGTAGACGCTTTTGTTCCACTTCCTGTCCCTGTGATGCTCGTACGCAAAAAGGATGGCTATGTTGTCACCATGACAAGAGGAGATAGACAGCAATACAGTCATTGTGAGAAGTACTAACTCTTCCTACTAAAAATTTGTTTTTGTGTTTGCATCATTCACATCAATTCCTGTCCTGACAAAAAACGAGGGGAAACCTCCCCAATAGAGACAAAAAAACAAAAACAATAAAAACCCCGACAGACTAATCCCTCCCTGCTTTATCCAAGACAAAAAATAAAGTTTTGGCTTATAGAGGACCTGAACTCTGCAAAATGTGCTAAAAAAAATACAAACAGAGGAGACTAGTCACCAATACGTGGTCACCAACGTGGTTACCAAGTCTTTTTCTGCACTGTGCATCTCTGTGAAGATGGTCACCTTGGTGGAGGAGCAGAGTATTGCTTCCTTATGTCAGAGCTGCTTCCCAATACTTATTTTATTATTTTTCTAAATTTTTATCTATATTATTTTTTTCCCATTTAGATTTATTGCTAATCACACAGGGGATAACAAGCCCCTGTTTGATAGCATTTGGAGGCGACAGGTTCCCTTTATTAAACCTATCACCTACAATACAGGAGTAGCACAGCACTGTGTTGGATCTCCTGTGACAGCTGAGATGGGAAGGCTGAGAGTACGACGTTCCTGTCTCACTGCTCACACGGAGCAGACCAAAGAACGGACGTTCTCCACTCTTCTCCCCGCTCTCCATCCTGAACTACTTTGCTGGGGGACCCCGAAAACCATGGCGAGGAGGGAGGCATCAAGCGGGGGAGAGAGGCAGCCAGTGGTGGGGGTGGACCAGCAGGCTTACCACAAGTGATCACTAAGATCACTTGTCTTAAACGAGTGGCAGCTTCTCCGCTGTACATTTAGCCCTGCTTGCCCGAAGCAGTGCTAAATATAGAGAGAAAAAAAACAACCGCTCAGCATTGCATGTCCCAGGCATCAAGCATTACCAATTCAACACCCCTGCCTAAGCTTGTGTGCCACCAGAGGAGCCTCTGCAGCCCTCTGTGGCACACGTGCCATAGGTTCACCATAGAGAAAATATAGGAGCCCTGGTAGAAAACAGATTTTTGTATTCAAAGGAAGCTTTCAATATAGAGGTCACCATTGTTGACCACCTTAAATACCAATTTCCCATTATGTTAGTCGACCAGCTTCAAATCCCTTTGGAGCAAGCATGCAGATTAGGAAAACTCAGAACTCCTGTTGTACATGCTTTTACTGAGCCGGTGACTCAAAGTATTTTCAGGAAGGCACTGGATCAGTATGACAGGCAAGGAATTCCAATTTTCAAAATGAAAGGTCAGGAAATATGATTTGTACAATAGGTGTCACCCATGGTGACTAGTATCCGTGATCACTTTTCAGGTGCAGGTAATAAATAAAACTGCATAACTGACTGGTGTATATGGGCAACAATCCTAGTACATGGTTTGACAAATCCCAGGCTCCAGGTTGCCATGGCGACTAGAAATTGCATCCTGGCACCTGGGCTTTTATCAGCTCGTTCCCGATCCCCTGCCGCCGCCTCCACATCAGTTCTGCTCCTCCGGTTCTCCTCCCCACTGGGAGCCTGCTGCATGCTGCGGTCTGTGTTCCCTTTGACCCACGCGGTTCTTCCACCCGTTTCAGCAGAGGCAGCGGGAGGATCAGTGGGGACACAGACTGCTGCAGTCGGCACTCAGAAGGGAGGACAGACCACCGTGCAACCCTCTTTGGGACTATTGCACTCGCCCACTGTCAATCAGCAGAGCAGGTACCTGAAGGAGAACTTTCTCCTTCAGGTACCTGCTCTGCTGATTGATAGCAGGCAGTGGGCAGGCGCAATACCCAGTCTGCTATTGCAATTTGAAATGGCCAATATCAGGTGGGCTATTGCTCCCAGCCACTGCCTGCTGTGTTTACATTCAGCTGCCTCAGCATGCAGCTGTCATTCTCCAGCTAAAGCTATTCAAGTGGAAAGGTGACACTAGGGGTCCCCTAATGTCACCTTAAAGAGAACCTGTTATCTCCCATGTGCTCTCACATAGGAGGCTTGTGTAAAAAAAAAAAAAGTTAAAAAGGAGAACTATGAGGTGAGTGCTTTTCACTCACCTCATAGTTCTAGCCGACCTGTGACAATGAGACTGTCACAGGTCGGCTCAGTAGATCGGGAGGTGAGCGAACACATACCGGCGTTCGCTCACCTCCTCTCGAACCTGTCACGGCTCTCTGCCGTGACAGGGGAGGGGCTGGATTCCCCCCTCCCCGCTTTGATCGGCCACCGCTGACTGGCGGAATGGACAAGGGGGTGGGTACAGCTGGCTCTGCCTCTAGATAGGCAGAGCCAGCTGTCAGTCACGCAGCTGGGCGGATCCTGGCATAATTGATCCTGGCAGCAGCTCGCAGTATACTGAGCCTAGGGTGACGGAAGGACGCTACTTTGTGTCCTCCCGTTACCCTAAGGTGAACTATGGGGAAAAGCCTTAACCCCATATATTCTGGGTCCTAACTTGTTTAGCTGGCTCCCAGAATCAAAGCAAATTTTTCAAGCCCTGCCCTAGTATTAATCCTACCCGTTATATAAGCCTTTTCAATGACTGCAAGGAAGATTTTTAATCAGGATAAAGTCTGTGCGCTGTCAGAAGAATTCCACTGCTGCACGGTCACATGCAACTCATAAGACATCCGTAGCCAATGCTTCCTTTCAGAAATAGTTACAGTGGTTTATTGAACTTAACATATAAGTTACCATAACACAAAGTTTGTACCTGACTATTACACAGACCTTCTGGTCACAAATTCAGAACAAGCATGCATGCCAGGAAAGGTAGATGTACCACACTGCAAAACTCTTCTGGGTCAGTGACTCAAATTGTTGGACGCCAAAAGGTTTAACAATACAGCAAAGAAATCAGCATTTGCAGGATTAACTTTTTTAAAATGTTATTAATTGTATAATTTAGGGAACCCTTTAAAGATTATGTTAAAGGAGAACTATGAGGGGAGTGATTTTCAATCTGAGCCGGCCTGTGACAATGAAACTGTCACAGGTCGGCTCAGTAGATCGGGAAGTGAGCGAACACATACCGTCGCTCGCTCACTTCTCGATCTATCCCTGCAGAGAGCCTTGACTGTCACTCACGGCTCCCTGCAGGGATCCCCCACCCCCCCCCTGTCCGATCCTCCAACGCTGACTGGCAAAACGGACGGGGGAGGGCACAACTGGCTCTGCCTCTGGATAGGCAGAGCCAGCTGTCAATCCCGCAGCTGGGTGGATCCAGACAGTATTGTCGGGATCCGTCCCAACTGCGGCATCTCAGTATACTGTAGCTCGCGGTATACTGAGCTTTGGGTCACGGGAGAACGCTAGTTTGTGTTCTCCCGTGACCCTTAGGAGAACTATGGGAAAAAGCCCTGACCCCATAGTTCTCCTTTAAAGCTTAACTCCAGGCAAGCAGCTATGTACATATTAAGGAATTGTTTTACCAACTTAAGGAGATGTAAGTTTGCTGAGCAAGCCTTGTGATCCAGGCAGCCCTGCAGAAAAGTGTAGCTGGGTCACTGACCTACCCTGTAGAACAGATTAATCAAGATCACACCCCTTGCTTGCTGACTGGACAATGAGGGAGCTGAAATACACCAAGAAAGTCACTACTCCGTCAGCATGTTCACTCACCACGTGCTATGTAGCAGAGCCTTACTGGCTCCAAGTGCTGCCCTTCCCTCTCTCAGTTTGAGTGCTGCTGTACAGATCACTATAGGAGGCTGATAAAAAGACACATTCAGGTACTTGCACTAGTTGAATTCAGCTGAATAAGATCTTTTTACTATTTGCCTGGAGTTTAACTCTAAAAACAAAAACATGGAACAGCAAATAGCATATGTCTTACTATTATATTGGACTCCTTTGGCGAACCGCCTCTGTAGCACCTGGTTCATGGACTGAAGGCCGGCAGGGATATTCTTATCTTTCATGGTCGATATGTCCGACCCGACCAGTTTCTTTAAAGCGGAAAACATCTTCTCTTTTGCAGATGGGGCGAGCCCGCAAGATCAACACAAACGTCTGATGGCTTACAGTGAAACTTCTTGAGACCACACTCCAAATGTCAGTTAGAAATACTACAATATATCTGCTGGAAGGGAATGTCGGAGGAAAACCTATAGCAAATATCAGATGTGAGTAGCCATGCTTTAGGTTTTTTTTCCCTTCGCTCACAGATTAAACATGTCCAAGTTCCCGAGAAGTTGAGAGAAATACGTAACAGTCAGCAGTAAGGAGATGGTCGCAGAATTCCCAAGTCACCACTCACAATTGACCCACAGTTCCTAAAATTTTGAACAGAGAAGAAAAATTAGTGTAAGTTTCTGGAAGAGATGAGGAGTGGCTCTTAAGGAGTTCAACTATACACTACTTTCATCTAAAAGGGGTGATACAACATAACCCCAATGCTATATCAAACAAGAATAACCAGTAGTAGCAATGGTAACATTTATCTGCCAATTCCCCCCAGGGCTCTCTACATTTGTTACACTGTATCTCTTGTTACTAAGCTGCATTTATTTCCTATGACCCTCAGCTCCATCAAGTGGTACTTTCACCATACACTACTGCCCATAATATCTGCAGAACATTCGACCAGAAGAAAAAAATAGACCAACAGTAGTATTAAACTCTCAAAATTCTTTCAATAATGAATCCAGATCAAACAAATATACATTGCTCCGCAAAGTAATATTTTACATTGTTGCCCGAGCACAGCCGTCATGTTTCAGAACAGCTCCAACTCTCTCAGCTCCACTTTCCTGAACTTCCTGTCTAGTTTCTGATCACAAGGGTCAGCACAGACTCCAACAGCTGTCTATTTAATATCTTGGAGCACAAAGCAGGTAAGGGGTGGATTACCTTGCTGGGTATGTGTTTGCAGAGACAGACACAGCTTACTAGCACACACAAGGGTGGCTCCATAGGACTCTACAAGGGAAAGGAGTCACCCTAAAGCAGGATATCAGGGCCAATGTTCAGGAGATCAGCTCATTCTGCAGGAAACTAAAACTTTCAAACATCAAGCAGCATACTTTGTAACGGATTTATCAGCATTTGAAATTGCTTAAAGCAGAACTCCGGGCAAAAATGTTCTTAACCCTTGCAGTGAAGCTATCCCCGCACTGCAAGGGTTAAGTGCTCTTTTTTGTCTAGGTGCTAAAAAAGAAAATTATACTCACTCGATCTTCGGAGCTAGCTTGCTCTTAGACCGGTCCCTGGAGCCTCTCTCCCCCTCCGTTGCAGCCGTCTAAGGATCCTTGAGTCATTATTTTCTATACCTCTGCATAGGAGGTGAGGACACCAAGGGACATACCATCGCTGCAGCGGAGGAGGAGGAGACAAGCTTCAGGGACCAAAGTAGCAGCCAGCTGGCTCCGCGATTCCAATGAGTATAACTTTGTTTTAAGCAGCAAGATGAGCACTTACCCCTTGCGGTGCAGGGGTAGCCCCACTGCAAGGGTTAAAAAATAAATTTGGCTGGAGTTCTGCTTTAAAAACCTTTTGGCTTTAATATCGCTTTAAAGTGTATCTCCACTCTTGCAGCCAAGAACACTCTCTGCCCTAACAAAGGGTTAAAGATCTAGAAGCATTGTATGTTGAAGTGGACGCTCAGAGTGTCTCCAGTCTTTCTATGAGGACAGAGTTTCTTGTCACTTGGAAACTGACAGAAGCTTGCAAAGTCCGCTACACAGATACACCTAAAAAGGTAAGAAATATTTCTACATTTGCCGTGTGAATAGGAACGCACATAATATGCAGTGGAGGGGTTTCCCTATTTTGGCTGCAGGGGTTGCACCATTCTCACAACAGCTGAATAATCCGCACAGAATGAATGTACATACAGCTTCGCTGGACAAATTTGTTTTACAAATACTGCAAACTGTTTCAAAAGACAAAACGTTTTTAGTTGTGAACAGCAATCAATAACTTGATGGGCTATTAACCCTTTTCTACTTTATCTAAAGCTAAAAGAAAGCGTGGCTATACACACACGTTTTACTACAGAACAATGAACAATTGTGATCAGGGCCTGAAGGAACCCTGTACTGAGGAATATTGGAGGCTGCCATTGATAACATCTGAAAATGAGTTTCTTGGGTGTCATGCTGATCCAATGGCTTTGGTACTTTCTGAATAACTGGCCTGAAATCTTGTTTCTGGTTAGCTTCTGAGAAAGTACTATACGACCAGCAAGAGCCAGGCAACTAGCATTTACAGAGAGAGGTCACCAAAGGCAGTGCCCATATCTTTCTCATGCACATATTTATTTAAATACACAGAGGACCCGGCTTGAGTGAGGTAAATATTGATGAGGAGATAATAAACACAGGATTAGGTGTGATTGGAGGAGGAGGTTCTATATGAGAGATCTGCCATGTAGTACTGGGAGATGGTGTGATCTGTATGTTTGCAGATGGAACACAGCACAAAAGGTGTGTTGGAAAGGGGTGACACATAGCAGAATGGGTATGAATTAGATGGATGGGTGGGGGAGAGAAAGCAGATCAGGAATTTATGTATTGTAGGTGTAATGTGCAGGAGATAAGGTATGGGGGAGACACAGGAGATCAGGCATATGTGGGGGCAGACACAGAAGATCAGGTATGAGGGGACAACACAGGATGTCAAGTATGGGTGGGTGGAGGGTGACACTCGGGAGAGCAAGTATTTGTAGAAGGGGTGAGGTGACACACAGGAGATCAGGTATGCATCAGTGAATGGGATATCAAGTATGGGAGAAGAAGGGGCGAGGACACACAGAGGGGATCAGGTATGGGAGAAGAAGGGGTGAGGACACACGGAGGGGGATCAGGGATGGGAGAAGGGGGGAGGACACACGGAGGGGATCAGTTATGGGAGAAGGGGGGAGGACACACGGAGGGGATCAGTTATGGGAGAAGGGGGGAGGACACACGGAGGGGATCAGTTATGGGAGAAGGGGGGAGGACACACGGAGGGGATCAGTTATGGGAGAAGGGGGGAGGACACACGGAGGGGATCAGTTATGGGAGAAGGGGGGAGGACACACGGAGGGGATCAGTTATGGGAGAAGGGGGGAGGACACACGGAGGGGATCAGTTATGGGAGAAGGGGGGAGGACACACGGAGGGGATCAGTTATGGGAGAAGGGGGGAGGACACACGGAGGGGATCAGTTATGGGAGAAGGGGGGAGGACACACGGAGGGGATCAGTTATGGGAGAAGGGGGGAGGACACACGGAGGGGATCAGTTATGGGAGAAGGGGGGAGGACACACGGAGGGGATCAGTTATGGGAGAAGGGGGGAGGACACACGGAGGGGATCAGTTATGGGAGAAGGGGGGAGGACACACGGAGGGGATCAGTTATGGGAGAAGGGGGGAGGACACACGGAGGGGATCAGTTATGGGAGAAGGGGGGAGGACACACGGAGGGGATCAGTTATGGGAGAAGGGGGGAGGACACACGGAGGGGATCAGTTATGGGAGAAGGGGGGAGGACACACGGAGGGGATCAGTTATGGGAGAAGGGGGGAGGACACACGGAGGGGATCAGTTATGGGAGAAGGGGGGAGGACACACGGAGGGGATCAGTTATGGGAGAAGGGGGGAGGACACACGGAGGGGATCAGTTATGGGAGAAGGGGGGAGGACACACGGAGGGGATCAGTTATGGGAGAAGGGGGGAGGACACACGGAGGGGATCAGTTATGGGAGAAGGGGGGAGGACACACGGAGGGGATCAGTTATGGGAGAAGGGGGGAGGACACACGGAGGGGATCAGTTATGGGAGAAGGGGGGAGGACACACGGAGGGGATCAGTTATGGGAGAAGGGGGGAGGACACACGGAGGGGATCAGTTATGGGAGAAGGGGGGAGGACACACGGAGGGGATCAGTTATGGGAGAAGGGGGGAGGACACACGGAGGGGATCAGTTATGGGAGAAGGGGGGAGGACACACGGAGGGGATCAGTTATGGGAGAAGGGGGGAGGACACACGGAGGGGATCAGTTATGGGAGAAGGGGGGAGGACACACGGAGGGGATCAGTTATGGGAGAAGGGGTGAGGACACACGGAGGGGGATCAGGTATGGGAGAAGAAGGGGTGAGGACACACGGAGGGGATCAGTTATGGGAGAAGGGGTGAGGACACACGGAGGGGGATCAGGTATGGGAGAAGGGGTGAGGACACACGGAGGGGATCAGGTATTGTAGAAGAAGGGGTGAGGACACAGCGAGGGGGTGAGGACAGAGGGGATCAGGTATTGGAGGAGAAGGGGTGAGAACACACAGGGGATCAGGTATGGGAGGAGAAGAAGGGGTGAGGACACACAGAGGGGGGTCAGGTATTGTAGAAGGGTGAGGAAATACATGGGATATGGTATGAGAGGAGAGGGGGTGAGTATACACAGGGGGTAAGGTATTGTAGAAGAAGGGGTGCGTATACACAGGGGGTCAGGAATGGGGTGTGTGATGTGTACATGTGGGGGAGGGGGGACACTTATTGTGGAATGTGACAGCTGGGTGGTCACATGGTACAGATGGTGATGATGGCAATGAAGGCTGCCAACAGCACTCCCCTCCCTCTTCCTTACACCCAGGCAATGTGTCTATTGCGGCTCAAACCGCGTCTCCTTCATGCTTGATTTTCCCCCAACGGCTCTCTTACTCTGTGCTCTTCTCCGCCAGCCCAAGCCGCCGCACCGCCATCTTTCTTCCTCCTCTCCGGTGCATCGGCGGGGCGGAGTCACTGCAGCTGCTACAGAGGCCGGGGAGGTCAGAACTCCGCAGAAAGCGAAGCGTGTTGCTGAAGTGCGCATGCGCAACTGTGGCGCAAAGTTCCAACCTCTCATGTAGAAGTTTGTGCAGATGTGAAAAAGCGTCAGTACGGCCTGCTTTCCCGAACACTTGATCAATTCATCTATGTAATGGGTCGGTTAATAATCTATGCTCAGTGAATAAACATTATAGGTTGGCCACAAGTGACACTTTCACAGCAGGGTCACTGCAAATTTCCCCCAGCCTGTAAAAGCCTATGTATCACCTGTCAAGGGGCCCCGTCTTCAAAAAAAACTCCACTTAGCTGCTCCCTGACAGCTGTATGTATTTTGTTCCCCACACACTGCGGCCTTCCCATTGTTGCCTCATTGACAAATGACTAA